CTGGTTCTTTATTGAATGGTACTCTGGAAAGAAGAGTTCCAGTGCTTTACTACAACATGTGACCGCCATGTTGGAGTGCAGTATGTCAGCTGTGGTCACTCTGCTGGTCACAGAGCCTGTGGGAATGCTCACTATCCGTTCTTGTCGAGTGCAAATGCTTTCAGACTGGTACACGATGCTGTACAACCCAAGTCCAGACTATGTCAACACATTACACTGCACTCAGGAAGCTGTGTACCCACTCTACACCATCGTGCTGATCTACTATGCATTTTGCTTGATACTAATGATGATGCTGCGTCCTCTGTTGGTGAAGAAGATGGCGTGTGGTTTGGGCAAATCCGACCGTTTTAAGAGCATCTATGCTGCTCTGTACTTCTTCCCGATCCTCACTGTGCTGCAGGCTATAGGAGGAGGACTGCTCTACTATGCATTCCCCTACATCATCCTGGTCCTGTCTCTTGTCACGTTGGCTGTTTACATGTCTGCCTCTGAGATACAGTCTTTTAAGAATCTGGTTGCCAAGAAGAAACGTCTCATCGTCCTGTTCAGCCACTGGCTGCTGCATGCTTACGGCATCATCTCGATCTCCCGACTGGACAAGCTGGAACAGGACCTGCCGCTGCTGGCCCTCGTGCCAGGACCCGCTCTGTTTTACATCGTCACAGCCAAATTCACTGAGCCCAGCCGCATCCTCTTGGAGGCTGGCAATGGACACTGAGCTGGATTTATCAGGAGTTCAATAAATAACTCTTGAAAAAAAGTCACAGCAGCTTGCCCCTGTCCAGTGTGATGTCTTGAAATTGTCTGTTTATTTTTAGTTCAAAATCTCAGTCAGTGAGGAGTCGGACTCAAAATGCCAAACGTAGTTTGTTAATTTCTGTAACTCATGAAATATAAGCTCAATAATTCATTCACGCTCAGCTTCAGTTCTCATGTGAAGTGTCTACAGGTCTGACATGACAATGATGTGGTCCCAGAAGTCTGGCGTGTACAGTAAAGTGTATGCACTACTGCTTTGTCAAGTGTGGTGGAAGATGTGATCTTTCCGCTGGAGCTGAGCAGCTGTTTCTAAAGCGTTAACGGGTCGCTGCTTTTAATGTTTATTTTAAATTTTGATTGGTGTCAGAATTTCTCCAGAGGAAAATCGCTCCGACAGATATACTTGAAAAGGTTTGCATGTTGACTCCTGTTGAATATTTCAGCCTTCACAGGTTTGTGGAGGTGAAAGTGCACTGTATATACTGTACATTGCTTGTAAATGTTAGTGTATTCAGTATGTTTATCTGCATATACATAATTTAAAACTAAAACTTTGAATGTTATCTTTGTGTTGCTGACTGTATTGATCTTTGTTACCATGAGATTCAACTTTTATTGGTCTCAAACATTTACCTGATATCAAAGTGTACACCTGTGTTACTGCAGGTCGATCTGTGTGACGATGCACTTAAATCTGCAGATCATTTTGCTCACAGTCATCTGTATAGGCTGCAACATATGTTGATGTTTCTTTGTAAATGAATAAAGGTGTCAGAAAATAAAAAAAAAGAAAGACCGGAGGCAAAGCCAGAGCTAAGGCCAAGACTCGCTCATCCCGTGCCGGGCTTCAGTTCCCCGTGGGTCGTGTCCACAGACTGCTGCGCAAAGGCAACTATGCGGAGCGTGTGGGAGCCGGCGCCCCCGTTTACCTGGCAGCTGTGCTCGAGTACCTGACCGCTGAGATCCTGGAGCTGGCTGGCAACGCAGCCCGCGATAACAAGAAGACTCGCATCATCCCACGTCACCTGCAGCTGGCTGTCCGCAACGACGAAGAGCTTAACAAGCTCCTGGGGGGAGTCACCATCGCTCAAGGTGGTGTGCTGCCCAACATCCAGGCCGTGCTTCTGCCCAAGAAGACCGAGAAGCCTGTCAAGGCCAAGTAAACGCAAAGCGCTGGGTTTCAACAAAAAACAAAGGCTCTTTTAAGAGCCACACACTTCTCTCTGAGCAAACCACCTTCTTGATGCGTTATTAACAACTTGTGTACTTGGAAATTTAGCAGAGATGCACCTTTGTTTATTTTGAAATTTATATTAATTCATGCCATCTTTCACAGTAAGGGACTCAAGTGCACCTTAAAAACTACATTTTTAATTGAAACTGTCAGTTTGCTTTATTGTCATCAGGCAAGAATAAAAAGTTAAAGCTCAAATTTTAACATTACATCCCAAAATAAAACTAAAAGAAATTTGCAGTGTCTCTCACTGTGTGATTAAGGCCTGTGCCTTGTTCAACCTCAGTGTGCTCCTATAGCTTAATAATTTGAGGTCAATTTGAAGCTAATCATTAGTGATATCCTAACTATGACTGTAAACATGCATCATGGTTCACTCGCTTGATAATAAAAGCAGATTCTAAGCTCATGGAAACACAAACGCAATAGTAAATCATAACGCAAAACATGAGGAGCAGGACAGGTGGAGTTCTTGGGTGCTGCAGGAACTATCCAGGTACAGAGGGAGGAAAATGTGGAGCTGTTTGCAACATGTTCGGCACTGCTACTGAATTCGGGACATTTTGCAAAGTCTGTGTCTATTGTGAGTACAATAAAACAATGATTACAATACAATGTACTTAGGTTTGCTTAGATAATAGGGGGCAGCTGGAGATCAGAGGAACAGAAAATGATTCGTAAGTGTTGATTTTGTTAGAATGACTTTGTCAACCCCTGTTTTAAGGACAATAGTGGATTTGTGTGCTCAAAGCATTTCATGCGACCTTAAAGCTCTCAAGAATGACATTGAGTTGCTGAACCCTGACCTCTAACGTGCCAAATCAGTTGGCTTATCTATAAACTTTGGCGTGTCTCTGTATGGAGGAAAGAATTTATTGACAGTGGGGGTCTGCCTTTTGTAAAATGAGAGTTAGTTACTAGCCTGGGGAGAGGACAACCCCCACAACAATAGAATTAGTGGAAAACTACTGAGGGGGACACAGGGCAGCCGCGGACTCTTCTTAAGCTGGGATATCAAAAGGATCGGTGAGGTCAAGAAGAAGTACACCTCAACACTATATTTTTGAAATAATGGATTTCCTCGCATCCTTAACCCTACAGAACTCAATTTGTTCAAATGTACATGAATCAAATTGGTTATGAAATTAGTAATGAAATAAATACATGGTAAAATAAATAGCTGTCTGGGTTCAGCTTGGAGTAAAATGTGTGTCCTTAAAATCACCGAACATCAATTCAACTGGCCTAGATTTAGTCAGGTAAGGTTGTTGAGTAAAGCATTTCAAGTGGATTATATTGGCTAGGTATCAATAAACTATACATTGTACTTCCACTAAAACAGCTAGTGTAGGCTTACAAAAAATAAAAATATAAGTGAAACATATCTCATATATAGATAATAACATGCATCTGTAAATTTAATATTTTCTGTCATATTTGTTGTTTTTTAATAGAATATTTTAAAATGTAGGTGATAATTTTTAAAGGTGTATTTCTTGTATGATACTGTCTCATAGTAAAACAAGAAGTGGTGTGATGTCTTGTACTATGAAGGTATGGTTGTAAATATTGAGTTAACATCAAAATTATAGCAACAGTGCTGATGTTGACTAGATGTTGTATTAAAAGTAAATTATTCTAGATTAACTTGAATACTCGCATAGTAATGGAGGTCTCAACATACTGCAGTCCCTCTGGCTGAACCAATACAAAATGGTTATTGGAAACACACAACACATAGTACTGTATGAGTTATGGTAAATAAAGTAAAGAGGTTTTAGTATGCAGGTTAACTTGAATACTCACCTTACTCAATGTTGGGGGATACGTATTTTCTTCAAGAGGTCGGTTTTTTCTGCAACTCTGTCTATGATCAAGTCATTGTCATGGGAGATGAGGATGTCTTTCTCTGTAGTCATAAGCATGAATGCTTCCAGGTGTTCTTGTGACTGTGTGCTTCTTATTCTACTTTTTATGTGTTTGAGAACAGTGAAACTTCTCTCACATGCTACCTGTGTCACAGGCAGAGTAAGAAGGTACCTGTATCCCCAGCCAAGAATATGATAAGCATCTGTGAAGAGGTTGTATCGTTTCAGAATCTGATAACAACAGACTGGGCATTCCTTGCAAGATTTGCACTGTTTGTTTAGTACATCTGTGTTCTCTTCTTCATCATCATCACAGCCAACCCCTACCATCCTGACCTTGTACTCTTCAAGTGCAGACATTTTAAGCCGTGGCCACTGAGACACTTTAACTCAGACTGCAAGTTTCTTTCCTTTTTTTTTACTTGCAGCTGCGTTTTGCATCGTTTCTTTCCATCGTCTTTGCCTCCTACTCCACTTCTTCTACTCCTTGCCTGTCGGCCACAGCCAATGCAGCTGGCATCCAACTTAGAGGTGCAGTGGGGGAAAAAATACCGTATTTTCGCAACTATAAGGCGCACATAAAAGCCTTAGATTTTCTTTAAAAAGTGCGGCGCGCCCTATAGTGCAGTGCGCCCTGTGTGTTGTAAGGAGGACGTAGTAGAGAACACCATGAGAACGCTAAAGGGTGAAGT